GGGCAGCCTCCTTGCCAGGAAACAGCATTAACGTAGCAATTTTGACTCAGGCCATTTATAAATTTAGCTCCTGAAACTGAAAGCAGGTATTTCCAAGGAGATGATATTTCATTCGTATACACAGACATTCATTCATTCCCCTTCCTCACTCCTCTCTAAGTACCAAACACCAATTATTTTTCAGCTTGGTGCGAGTTTAGCAAACACCATCTCCCCTCAGCTGCAAGGTTTAATTTATATGTGCAAGGGAAATGCTCAAGGTACTTTGTGTGTGTTTGCAGCTAAGCAGCACATGCGCATACGCACCCCTTCTCCTGTCAAGCTCCACGTCGCCAGTGCAAGATGTGAACATTGCCCCACACATGCCCCAGATGCTATGCCACAGTCATGCTCTGTCCCTCCAGGGACATGGGAGGCTCCGAGGATGAAGCAGAGGGGGGCCCTTTGTCTATCCTTGCAGGACCCACACTGACAGGGACATTGTGTCTACTCAAACACATGGCTCCTGCTGGACAAGTGCCTGTAGTTGGGTCTGGCTTGTGTCCCTACCTGTGTTCATGCCCACTGCATCACCCTGACCCACTGCATCCCAAAATATTTTCACAAAAACACAGTGTTGAGTGCACCAGTATGCAGGAAAACCAAAGGAGGAGTGTGTGTGTGGCCTCTTGGGCAGTGCTTAATTTTAATGTGCAAATGTAACAGTATTAAAGTACAATAACATATAAAATACAGATTACAACTGAAAGGTCAATCAATAACCAGTTACTCTGACATTAAAAGACACTGGAACTCTGACCAAACTTAAGACAAAAATGTAATAGTAAAGAATATGAATTAAGACTTGTAAAATTACTATACTTCTCATTGGAAAAAAACGCACAGAGCTGTTTCAGTGTACCAGCTGCCAACATCACCTCTAAGACTCCTGTTTTTATTATGCAGCAAAATGTTTCTCAAAAGTCTAGGTGCCTACAGCCATCAGAGGCCCAGGAAAAAAGGGTGCAGGAACATACCATCACCAAAGATGTGAGTCATGAGCTTCGTGAGCACTTGCTTCAGGTTGAACTCCACCAGCCTCACAGCCTCCATGGTGTGACACTCCTGCTTGTGCGTGGTGCGGTGACCTTGCTCAAACAACTGTAAGCCTTCGCCATCTTTAATGCTGGAGAACAACTAGAACAAAACCACAAAAACACCAGTGTTCTGCATCAATCACTCTCCTAATGAAAACAGAAAATGAAGTTTTATTGATTTAAGTGGGAATCTTACCTGCTAAGTCTGGGCCATGAAAAACAAGTGTAAAGACTGTGATTTTATGCAAATTCTGTTCACTAAACACAGAGATAAGTCATCACAAGAACAGAAATATTGAAACAATAAGATTTATTTCTGTACCATATCTTCGATAATACAGTTAGCCACAGGAAAATATTAATTTATAAAGGAAACATCCCTTTTTTTCTGATCTTAGTTTGAAAGTTACCATGCAGAACAAAGTACACGGTACAATATAGGAAATTATATCCCAACAACCACAATATATAATAGCATTTATTACAGCTTCAACATTCTTTAGTAAATGAATTACCTAGAAGAAGTACCAAGAAACCAAACACTTTAAAAAAAAAAGCTGTAATCAAAACAACCCCAAAAAATCCAAAAGAAAACCTGGCAATTTAATAAGACCCTAAGCTGCTTATATTTGATTCATCCTGGGGACAGTTTATTTGTATAAGGACTACCATTTTTCTGCATTTCCCCACACACAGCACCTTTCTGTATACAGGAATTCTGCCTATGGTGCATTTAGGAATTCATGGTCTTGGTCTGGGTTTTCCAGATTAATTACAAAGCACATGGGCAGGTGATCCACTGTATTGGGGATGTGACCGACCCAGAAGGCCTTCCACTCTTCCAGGATGAAAGCTACATGCTCAACTCCCTCTCTGAAATGCCTGTACACCAATGCACGCAGCATGGGGAATACACAGGAGGACTTAGAGATCTGGGTGCAGTCGAAGGGTTATCTGATTGCAATTACAGAGATGGTGGGATAGCTCACGTGAGTGGAACGCTGTCATGGATGGCTATGTTCTTTTCAGGAAAGACAGGCCAACCAGGCTTGGTGGTGGAGTTGCTCTTCACACGAGAAAGCAATTAGAATGTACTGAGCTCTGCAGACATATTTCACATCTGGAATACTGCGTCCAATTCTGGGCTCCCCAGTTCAAGAAGGAGAAGCAACTACTGGAGAGAGACCAGTGTAGACCCATTAAGATGATGACAGGACTGGAGCATCTGCCATATAAGGAAAGGCTGAGACAGCTGGGTTTGTTTAGCCTGGAGAAGAGGAGATGGAGGGGGGATCTCATTAATGCTTATAAATATCTGAAAGGAGGGTGTCAAGAGGATATGGCCAGCCTCTTCTTGGCTGTGCCCCACAACAGGACAAGGGGCAATGGTCACAAACAGGAACACAGGAGGTTCAACCTGAACATAAGGAAAAACTTTTTTACTGTAAGGGTTACAGAGCACTGGACCAGGCTGCCCAGAGAGGTTGTGGAGTCTCCTTCTCTGGAGACATTCAAAACCCGCCTGGACGCATTCCTGTGCAACCTGCTATGGGTGAACCTGCTCTATCAGGGCATTGGACTGGATGATCTTCAGAGGTCTCTTCCAACCCCTACCATTCTGTGACTGCGACTCAGTCTGCATGCAAAGGCCACTCTCCACCACATCTGCTGCAAATTGAAGATTTCTGATTTCCTGTACATTCCCATACATTTCTGGCCAAGCAATGAGACCCATACATATCAGCATTCTACATCTTCTCAGAGAAAATGAAACACCCTCACTAAGCCACGTCGTTAGAGGGTCTGTGTCTTGCAGAGACAAGCAGGCAGTTTTACACTCTAAAGAAGATTTTTGTTGGAAACTCTCACAGTTGTACACAAAACAACTCTGTTAATTCTTTGAGGGCAGGGAGAGCTAACACTGAAAGTGTTTCTAGTGCCCTTTCCAACCTTTCCTCCTCCATCTTCCCACAGTCAACCAGGCACACACTGAGGGGAAAAAAGCATGCATTGAGATTTTCTTCACATTAACCCTCCCAACATAACTAGCTCTTACTTGGGAGATGCCACGAACAGCATGTAACCTTAACAACTCATGGATGCCCACAGAAGTTGTTTTAATTGCAGTTTGATGCCTTCAGTGCACTAAATGCTTTAAAATCATTCAAGTGAAGCTCTGGTAGCCAACCAAAGTTGGGCACAATTAATTAAGACAAGCTTCTAGCACGTTTCATACGGACAAAATGCATGCAAAAGGAGTCTGAATTCAGACAGCATGCAAACAATCAGCAAAATGAATTGAGGGAATAAAAAAAATCCCATCAGTAGCATTTAACTTTGTATTGCTAGGCTAAAGGAGACTTGGCTGGCAGACTCAGAAAACACCTCTCAAGTTAATCTCCTTATTATGCTACAGAAAAGTACAAAAAAAAAGGATAAAGAGAAATACTGAATAAAACAATTATCTATCCGTCTAACAAAAATGCCTTTACTAATCAGAAGGCAGCAGCTTGACTAAACCGGGTATTACACTTTTAAATAACAGATCCTTTATTCAAGTGCTCACCTGAAAGATTAAACCCCCTTCTTCCTACTGGCATTATTTCTGCACTGGCTGGAAGAAGCAGATGATACCCACCCTAAAAGTAATTTACTGTCAGCAGGGCAGGTCAGTCATCCAGCGAGTGGTTTTGAAAGCCAGGGGGTATTCACAGAGGCCAGCATTAGCCTAGGGAGTGTAATTGTCTTAGGCTCACTGGGTGGTCAATGGACAGACACAGGCTCCCTCACACAGGAACCTGGAGTGGTTAAATCAGGTTCCTGCTCTGAACCACCCACTACAGGTAGCTATTTCTTCTATTGGCTGAAGAGACTACTTTAGCCCACAGATACTTCCCCCCCTTTGCACTCAAATAAACCATACTTACACATTACAAGATTTATTTGTTCTCTTCCCCATCAGTAATATTTTAGGACATGAAACTCTCTTCTCCCTTTTCCCCTTCGTTCCCCCCTCGCAGCTTAAAACTGGTTCCTCAGATCACTGCAAGGAACAGTCTGGACACTGCCTTTAAAACACAGCATTTGATCAACAAGTACATAGAAGTATCTTACCTTACCACGGTATTATTCCTGAAATTATAATATTTCAACTACTGTCTGAAGCAAAGTTGTATTTTAGAAGATTATATCAGATGTGGCAATAAAATCTGTGCAAGAACCATTAGAGTGAGTACATTTAGTCATACCCCAGCCCTCTAACCTGTTGGCCTCTTTGTCCTGCCAAACCAGCCACATGCACCATCTCCTTCTCCATGCCAGGACACGTATCCATGTGGTGGTGCACTGAGCCAGGCTGAGAGGTGGATCTGGGTAAGTAACCCAGGAGAAGGGAAGAAACCAAGGGACATGAAAACAGTCAAATCCAGCTTGGTAATCAATTACCAGCATACTGGCAGCACCCAAGGGACATCCTGGCACATGGGAAGGGGCTGGGCCACTTTTGGCACAGGCATGAATCTACACCAGTTTGCACAGGCTATGAAAGCAGACCCTTAGGAGAGTCCCCGAAAAACAGGCAGTGGCAAGGAAACAGCCCCCCTTACACTCAGGCACTGAGAGGCACTTCAGTATTCTCCATAGAGGTTCAGTCAGCTCCTGCCAACTCCAGCACAGCTGTGGTTGGGGTTATACCAGAAAAAAAACCCCAAAAGATGCCTTACAGTTGTGCTAATATTTATTCCCTTCTTTCCATTCACTGACATTACTATGTCAATATGAGCAGCTTTAAACTGATACACCAATTTCACTATTACAATGATTGAACAGTGCTAAGTGCATGTCTTGGACTAGAAACACTTCAGCACTTCTATACATATAAAGCCAAGAAAATAAAAGCTTGAATAAAATGAAGATCACCTACAGTCACTCCTTTCTGATGTCAATTCTTCTCAAGCACACATCTGAGCAAATAGGAAAAAAAAAACCCAAACAACTAAGTCTTGCATAAAACAGACACATCCAAGATGCCGCTATTTCATGTATATTTATTCTTTCAATAAGGACTAAAATAAAACGCGCTATTTTATTGTATTGAATATGATCGGTCAGTACTACTATCAGAAGAGAAATTTCCTGTAGCCATAAATTGAGCACCTATGTGTCTGCCTAATGTAAGGACAAGAAGTATTTTCTTTAAGTGAAGGTGTGCAAAACGTTCAATATTGTGTCATCACGCAGAGGTAAAAATAATAATAATCACCAGACTTTATCAACATATCTGACTGATGCTGCACTACAAAGGAGAAGGCAGAAAAAAAATCAAAGTGACCTTACCATGTGGCATGAAATTTTCTCATAATTTTAGCTTGTAATAAGAATAAAGTCAAATTCAGTAACAAGTAATGGCCAGAAGACACTGGGTTTTAACTGGACAAATCAAAACAGAGCGATGTTCCTTTAAAAGCACTTCACATTATTTCTCAGCCTGGCATGGAGCGTAGAAGTCACATATGTGAGTTCAATAAAGGCCCCAACAGTTCTCCAGTCACTTGACAGACTTTTTTCAATCTCACATCACTTCATTTTCCATACATCTAGGATTCAGTCCAAGATTAAGTGTCTCTTTACAGGATGGCATTCATAGTAGGTTTCAGATCAGAAAGATCTGTAACTATGACTTTCCACAATGTGGTTGTGCATTCCTCCTGCGAGTCATGCATACAGCAATAACTAAGATAATGAATACTTCAATCTCATGTACTTACACTCAAAGATAAACTCGCACTTCAGATGAGCTCTGCATGAGAATCTGAATGTGGCAACACTCAACCTTGCCACGCTGAATATATTTTGACTCACTGGCCCTGATAAATACCTCTAAAAATAAGGAAACAGCTGCACCCTAAATTCATCTAGAAACAGCAAACCATTGCCACAACATTCGTAATGTGCTGTTAACACTCAACAGATTGATCAGGAGTGATGAAGATGATACTACTTGAAGATGGCTCATCAAAAAGAAAACCTAATGCCAGTCCAAATCAGCCTTCAAGAGGACCAAACTTGTAAACCTGCACCCCCACCCCAGCAGTTTCATGT